TTTGTATAATTTAATATATTATTTAAATAATTAATTTTTTTAATTTATATAAGACTTATAATATTAAATATATATTTATTTAATAATATATAAAAATATATTAAAAAATAATATAAAATAATTATCTATAGCAGTACCTTATTAAAAAAATACAAAAGATTAACAGTGATTCACTGCGAGTCCTGCTTGTAGGACACAAAATTTGAAAGTTCGGTTTCCCACGTCCATTAAAAAAATAATAATAATAATAATCATATTCCCACTTCAAAAGTCTAGTTTTGGTTGGTCGAAAGATACTGGGATTGGTGGACTTTGACCAAAATGTGGAGTGTGAATAATGGAGTTAGCAAAAGAGGAATTTAGTGGGGTTTTCACATCCACCAAGTCATCGCCTCACTCCATCCACTAAGGCATCGCCTCATTCCAAGACAATACAGAAGACCTGAAAATCAACAGTCATCTGCTTTGCTCACACCATTTTGAGAAAAATAGCAAAATAGAATTTTAATGTGGCATGATATGTTTGACTCTCTCAACTCTCTTTTGCGTACCATACTGGGCAAACTTTATAGCGGCATTACTAAAAATTAATAAACCGAAGAACTTGGTGGGTCAAGTCTTTAAAAAACCAAAACAAAGAAAAAGCATATACATGCTTCGTTAGCCTTTTTTTGACTCAATTATACACCCTACATCAGACTTTGTCTGTCTCAAAATAATTAATGTAATTTTTTAAAATTAAAAATTTAAAAATAATTTTTATGTTTATTTATATTATTCAAAAAAATTAAAAATTTATTCGAGATAAATATAAAGTTAGGAAATGAGGTTATTTTACGGAATGAGTGGTAAAATAATTGTTAATTTTTAATTTTTAATTTATTTTAAATTAATTATTATTTTTTTAATTTTTTAAGAAATAAATAAATATTTTTTTACCTAAACTATATCATTATTTATTTACTTAAATTAATCATCCTATCACAAAATACCTCTTTTTTTATGTATGTTTTTAATTTTCCCCTTTTAAAGTAATATAAGCAATCACGTAGTAAATTATTTCAAAATCTTTAACTTATAGAGGAAGTAAAAAAATTGACAGCTACTCAAGAGATCAATTCAAGATGTAACAAGTTTGGAATTTCACACTTTTGCCAAAAATAACTTTTAAAAAACTTAAAAAATCTTTGGCAAAACCTTTTCTTAAACCCCTAGACTTCACCAACTACTAGCTACCGGCCCCTGAACTAAAATATGGGCACATAAGCCCTTGAACCCATCGATGGAATCAAATATGCCCTTGCGCTAACGGTGACACTGACGCCGTCTTTCTGATTAAAGGCTTCCATGGTAAGCTCCTCGTTCTTCGTCTTTTTGATTTTCTTCCCTATCTCGTTGCTCCCTGATGCTTGCCCCTCGTTCTTCTTTATCTTCCTTTTCCCTCCCTTACTCCTCTCCCTTCCTTGATTTTCGTCCAGTCCTAAGACTAGAACGTGATATACAGTAAGAATCCAAGTAGGAGTTTGGGTTAAGACGTGGGAACAGTGCGTGGGGGCACCTTTTTAGCCTAAGGTTGCCGGCATGGTCGTCGGTGGCTTATGAGTGGTTATCCAACATCTTTTCTCAGGTTGGTTGTCAACTTCCTTTCGTGATCACTGACATTGATGTTTATGGTTTAGTTAATTATTTCATATTTGGTTTCCCAAAAAAAGATTTGTTGGTTGTTTTCTGAGAAAACAAAAGGTGAATTTAGCTGTTTGGTTTTATGAAAAACAAATGAAAAATTATGATAACTAATTCGGATTTTAATATGTTTTTATTTAATTAATTAAAGATTATTAAATTTTTATCTAATTC